ATTGTGGCCAGCAACGTCAACAACGTTCAATAGCCTGGCCGATTCCAGTATTCCAGTATTAATTGTGAGAAGAGAATCTCAAATATGATCTACCCATAATGACCATCGCTAGCTAACACTAAGTGCAAGAGGAAGGATTGTTCGGAAGTTTCTATGATTTTTTTATCTATCTGTTTTTCTTCTAGCTTTTGAATGAGGAAGCAATCGAGAATTTTAAGGGAAAAAACGAAGAACAACAAAACGTAATGAAATTAAATTTGTGAGAAGATGAGGAATTCAGAGACAACTGCATACTGATAGCGACATTTAGTTCTTTTCGTGGTTTCGTGCTTGTTCACTGAAAAAAAAAAGAGTACTGAGGTAGTGAAAGTTCGAAGTTTCTTGTATGATGAGTAAAATTCATTCAAACTGTTAAATGACGTGAAATAGCAGTTTGAAAGAAAATAAGAAGATGTCATACACCAATAGACATAGATATGATAATATAATAGATCAAGTGGCTGAGTTATTCTTACACCCTATTGATAATGAAAGAAACAGACATGTATAATTAAATGAAAGAAAGAACACTGTCGAAATAACAGCTAACAGAGGTGTGCTTAATGCTCACCACCGGGAGATTTATACACACGAAAAGAATGATATACGCTCATCTTATCGCTATGAAGATATGCTGTTGTTTTATCACTAGAGCCATGAGCATACGAAGATATTATCATCTCAGCATAAGATTATCATCATCATTCAAACCACTTTCTCCACTTCAGTTCTTTTCTCGCCTAATCATCTGTTGGATGCGATCGGCTGTTTCAACAATAATCACATCGCACGAACACTCATTAATCTCGTGAAACGCTGCTTCTCACTTATCGCTTATCGGCAACAAACATGACTTCACGAGGTGTCTGATCAGTCGGAATCGTGTCATCGATAAGAATTCATTCGTCTTTCATCGTCTTCTTGTGTTGATCTCATTCGGCACCTTTTGTTCATCACTGATTTCAACAATGCTACGATTTCGAGTAATTCTATTTATTTGCTAAATTCACCGTTAACGATTCAAAATCAGTTCATGATTTGATACGAATCAACTATATTCATCGAACTATACTGTATTTACACCTACAGTACGGCATCTTCCAGCTGCTCAGAGAACCATACCCTCAGAGTGAACGAAGAGCTGTTTGAGCGAACAATTAATTGATCGATTGAATGAATAAATCAATGAGTGGTAATTCCTTTGCGTTCGTACCAGTCAAGATTCATTACGCTCGCTTTATGTGATCCAATCCAAATCTGACAAAAGTCGATTGATATCGTTCATCTTCACAAGCAATGAAATGCATAACAACGACTGTCATTCCATGAATACTATTTCTATAAGCCATATTCAAAGTAATCATAATTTATTGACTATTGCAAGGACATCATCAAAAAATATATTTCTTTCATGTAATGCTTCATGTTCTCATACTGATCGAGTGAGATTGCCATTACTTTGATTGATGTTCAGTTCATTTGAATCAATGCTTTTAATTCCGTTTCATCATTCTCATTGCTAACATCTGGCTTGTATTCGAAAAAAAAGCGATAATAATATTTAATAACAGCATAACTCATAGTCAATAAATTTGCAAAACAAGAATGCCCGTTCTATTGAGAAGTCAGCTAGATCGTTCACGAACTTCGAGTCGGGCGACTGCTATCCGAACCACATCTCAGTCTGTACTGCGACCTACCTCAGCTGATAACCAGTCAACATCACACGTGAATGCCACCAATGGTAGTGCCACAGAAAACCGTCGCAATTCATGTCAATCCAACGCAAGTATTAGTCGTCGTACGGTCGTTTCCGTGATAGATTATGGCAATTCAAAAGCAACATCAATGCATAGATCCAAACATAGAAGATTGTCGAAAAATGCCACTTTATTCCATCAGATCAAATTTTGCTATCGTCAACTGCATCTGAACTATTTGATACCGTTACTGATCATTATGCTTTACATGGTCATTGGTGCTGCGTTATTTTTGTGGATTGAAGCACCCGCCGACCTGCAAAAAAAGCAATCCGAATATGAGAATTATGTACATGAACGTGAATTGTTGCTGAAGCGTTTGGAAGAGATTTACACGGATCGAGCGGCCACTAAACGTCGGCAAAGACGTTTATTTTTGGAAGAAGCAATAGACTATTTCCACGAACGTGTTGACCTTTCATTTCCGAACACCACCGACTGGTCACTTACGACCGCTCTCTACTATTCCGGTACTGTTTTTACCACCATCGGTTAGTTGATGCTTATCTCATCACATTATCATCTTATTGCCTCTATCAGTCTCACATTAATTGTAAGTACGTATGTACGCACGTGGTCTGTGTTTTTGTTAAGGAGGCTTATTGATAGAACGAACGAATTGATCCTAAATAATTCTGACGTAGATTTATCATGAATAATAGATGTCGTGCTAGAGTACACATGTGGCTCACCTCAGGTGCATTCGTTGTGATTTTAATTAGTTATCTAATTCTATGGAAACTCACGGTTGATATCAGTCGCAGCGACATTTACGCCTTTTCATTAATTGAATACAACTGGCTTCACTGGAACTAACCATTTAATTGAATTATGCTTTTTCTTTGCTTGAATTAAGCGCTTACCTGAATATGTCAGTTTTGAGGAATGGCACTGAAAAAAAAAGTAAATGTATTTGCTGAAGCATGACAAAGTTAGCCATGTGGAATGTTTCGTACATTCAAACGAAATCTTACAATTCACATTGCGCACAAACACGCTCATATCTTTTCAGTAACTATAAAACGAAACTGATATTTTGATTTGATAGGAGGAAAAGTGACAAAATTCTGGAATACTTTACTAAAATGCATTTGTTATTTTGTAAAGCAAAGCACTTGCATTCATTTATTATACAATTAATTTCTCAACTTGAAAAAACCTCGACCAACGGATAAATTTTGTGAAATATCGAAGTAGCTCGCAAATATTTTGAAATGAATAATGTTCTGTCGAAGATTTCACGATGAAAAAAACAGTTTGAATTTCAGCAACTACATAAGTGCATCATAAATTTTCTCATGTCTTATTACGTCAAAATGCCAATAAAATATCTCGTTCGATAGTGCTTATAATGCATTTGCATTCGACTACATTCATTTCCTCTTTATTACCTGAAGAAAGGAAGTAACCAAAGAATCAAATCCGCTCTTTTATTTTTGTTGATCGAATCGGAATCTCGAAAGCTCTTCAAGAAAATATATATTCATAAATGTGCATTAAGGAACACTATTGTTCCGAGTGGTTTTACGTTTTATGAGCGTGCATTATGCTAGGTTATTCAATGCGAGTCTAATCCATAAACCAAATCCCATTCTCATTAACCACTTATTTCGACTAGTTCCACATGTCTACATCCAAAACTTCAGCTATTGAAAATCTCAGAAATTTCTTAAAACATAAAACATGGAAGGTGCCCGACTTAAGCAGCAAATGCTCACAGCTATAAATGAACACAAAAAAGTATTGTTCGAAATATGTTGTAGTGATGGTATAAGAGGGCTAGTTCTGAAGCGTTTCTCTCATGGAAATTGTGGATGTTTATTCCAGGAATAAACTATATGCCCTCATCTACAATATACTTATTGAAAATTATTTATTGAAATTATTGAATTATTGAAAATCCATCCATCTATGTTCTGTGCTTTGTGAAGAATAAAATTTAGTTTCATTAGCATGTTACGACGCCTCAATCAAGAACTATCCCTCCCAGCAGTTTATCTGAACTGTTGCTCTATTAAGATTCAATCCAAATTCAATTCAAAGCGACTACTTTTTCAGCTAAATCGTTTCATTTCACTATCTGATATTCAGTGACTTGCCGATGTTTTTCCCTTCATTTTCTCAGTCGGAGAACAAATCATTTAGAATTGTAATTGGTTAGCGCTAAGCAATCTTCTTGAAAACTCATGTATTCTTTGATGAAAACCCATCTTTTCTCAGTTCATTTGAAAAAAACTCAATCTTTCATTATTCTAATATGCTAGATCATATTGCAGTCAATTGGGAATTTTTGACTTGTTCAATGACTAGTTCGATCTGTCTCTCCTGGCACAATCGTGAAATGTAATCATTGATGGGAATTTTGAATGATGATATCAAGAATTCCCCAAATGAGATGAATTCGTGATGAGAAGTTATCGGATTTCCGCACAATTAGCGCGTTGCTTTAGTCATTCCACCGTTGCAATTCGAGGGAATTGATTTAATGACGAACCAAAACGTAGAATGATTATAATAGAATAATATTCGTGATAGTTTGATGCTTGTGATACTCGGTGAGAAATGGAATCAACAGTGAATTAAAACACGTTCATCTGGATTCCTGTTGAGTCATTCCAAGCAAATACATATTCTCTTAAGTTGGATACCTCAATGAAATCTTGCATTGTCAAGCTAGCAGCAGATTGTTCTCTATCGTCCGATAACATATTGCTAGCAACAAATCTTGCAACGCTATTCAAATACTTGCAACAATATAAAATTTTCTCTGAAAATTGCTCAATAAAAAAACATCTTCGAAGAATCTCACAGGCTCAATTTATCGCTTTCACTTGACTGATTGATTTCATAGTTGAAGTGAATTAATGAGGCATTGTAGTGAAGTCACAAAAGTTTCAACATTATAACTTCGCAATAAACTTGAGTGAATTCGCAATCACGCGAAATGCACTTCAGTTCATTGATCAACACAGATTAACATCGTTATTCGACGACATTTCTCATCGTATCAATCAGTCACTTAAAACGAAATCTATTCGTCATTTTCAAACTGGACAACTGAATTCAATATTGAAATTATCACTAAATTTGGAATCTTGGAAGCTGGCAACAAACTGAACATATTACGATAAGTTAAGTGAGTTATACGAAACGAATTCAAAATTTCACAACGATCGCTTTCGAAAATCTAACAATAAGGAAAATTGCAAGCATAATATGAGGAGACTTAATCAATCTATCTGTAGCTGAGAACTGAATGCGGATTTTTCGAAGAATTTTCAATTGTTCGAATCTGTCGAGCTTTGCTGANAATTCTTCTTGCTTTCGTCAGTTGTCAACCTCTTCTGAAGTTTTGCAAAGTGCCATTCTTTGCGACTAAGAATTGAAAACCTAATCCATGCCTAAAATCGATAACTTGTATTCGATCCCTTCAAATTGAGAGTCCAGTTTCAGTCGTTCTTTCGAATTGAAACTCTTCAATAGCTTATGAAGTGGAACTATTTTGAGAATTTGAGCGATCCTTTTCCTGATCAGTTGATGGTCTGCAATGATCGATTTCATAGTCATGAAGGGAATTTGAAAAAAAAACCTCCTTTAGCGAGGTGTGAAAGAAAGTGAATGGAGCTGTGCAACGCGGTACCACGTGAATGTATTCGCAATTTTCAACGAATTCGCTATGATATGAATCACTCGAATTAATCGACTTGCTCTACCTATAGAGGTGCTAAGAATACGCTTACTATATCGATAATGAATGATTTCGAGAGCTTTGAATTGCTAAAAAAAACTATTATTACTCCATAATTAATTGAAAGTAGAAAATTTGACTATAATTCAAGTGCGAATTTGTGATTCTTTCCATCATACTAATTAATGAATTCGTACGTTCAAGTCATACTTTCATCATCAATTAAGCAAGCACCGAAAATACTTCGCTTCAATCACATTCATCTCAATAAATTGACAATTGCTAAAATTACTCATTTATACAGAAAAACAGCAGATGCATCGCAATCATTATAATACATTGATTACCAATACGTCTCAGTCATTTTGTCTTCGTGCTATGTGTAGCCCATTTGAAAGAATGGTAATTGAAGGATATTTTAAAAGTTTATTCAAATCTCGGGTTGTATCAATTTTTTGGCCTTAGAATATGGTCAGTCTGGCATGAAAACTTCCAGCATAAAAATTTCATCACACAAAATCTTTAGCCGGAACTAACAGGAAGAGGTTTGTTTGGATTCCAGTGCTGTAAAAATATTCGTCTTTACTGAGGCTACAAGTAATACCTCTTAGTTTTTTTTAACTATAAAAGTTATTGATGTTTAACAAAACAGAGGTTAGGATTTGAAAAATTGATCGACTGAAACAAATTAATTGGGGTGATTGTTCTTTTAAGATGAAGAACTGTCATGTGTAATCACTTACAATATCGATACGCACTTTACAAGCGTTTAGCAGTCCTTAAGCACATTTCAACACGAGCAACGTTCTTCAATAGCAGCCAGCTATAGCTGAAAGCAGCGCGATATGAATAGCAACAGTTCTCACTAATAAAGCATCAGTTTTCACATTTTCTGCAATATGAGTGCTTAAGATCAAATTATTCAACGTATTTGCCAGAGTTACCTACTCAGCGTAATTAGGAACATCTGCCGTGCTTGCTTGATTTATTAGTTAACTGAAGTGCATATTGAACTGATAAATTCATCTCTGACTTCTTATACATAGGCCATGTAATGTTAATTCGGTTCAATATTCATTTCCGAATGAATGTAACAAAGAAACAGATATCAGTGAGGATATGATCTAGTGTTGTGATCGACTAGGAAACTATTCAGTGGTGTAAAGCTTGAGTGAGAACTAGCCCGGATTCGATTAAAAGGTTGAATTACATTTTGAACACGTTTTCGCTACGTTCATATGTGTGCACGTATGTATGTGTTCAGGAAGTGAATGAAAGGTGAGTGCAAAGAAAGAAGTACGACTTGAGACGCGCTACTTTGATCAGCTATTGGAATGCGTCAAAACAGTCTGTTTATATCAATAGACCAGTTTTATTGCAAAAACTGTTTCAATTTTATTGCTTAACGACTCTTTAATTGTTTACAATCTTCAAAGAGCACTATTAACATATCAAATGAAACATAGCGTCTGAAAATGCGATTGTTAGCGTAAATTTTTATGGAGTTTTAATGGGATACTTGTTGCCGATTGCCAGTTGCTTCGAGTACTGCGGGAAGCTCATGTTAGCCTGACTGCAAGATTGCTCAATTCGAAA